GTTTTTGTTTGTTCATGTTTGTTTTGTGTTTGTTGTAAAAATAAAAAAAAACATTAAAAAAAAAAAAAAAGAAAAGACTCTCCTCCTGGACCCCACCAATCAAAACTCTCTAGGCGATGGAGTCCATAACGTACCCTTCCTGCTGGACTGGTACGATGGGTTGATGTATTGGGGATGAGATGGTTCCTCAAGTAACCTGGGCCCATGCCATGAAGGGCTTTAAATGTCATAACCAACACCTTGAATTGGACCTGGAAGCAGTCCGGCACCCAGTGCAGCTCACACAGCAGAGGTGTTACATGTGCAGTTCTGGAGGCGCCCATAACTGCCTGCACTGCTGCATTCTTCACTAGCTGCAGCTTCCAAATACTCTTCAAGGGTGCTCCATGTAGAGTGCATTGCAGTAGTCCATACAGGAGGTGACCAGGGCATAAGTGACTGAGAGAAGGACCTCCCGATCCAGGAAAGGGTGCAACTGGTGCACAACATGAAGTTGAGCAAAGGCCTCCTAGCCACGGTTACCACCTGCTCCTTGAGCAGGGGTCGTGAGTCCAGGAGGACCCCAGATTATGAACTGGGAAGGTCTGGGGCAGTGCAACCCCAACCAGAACCAAAGATGGTAAGACCCCAGTTATGGGAGACCCCCAAACCCACAGCCACTCCATCTTGCCAGGGTTCAGTTGAAGCCTGTTGTTCCCCATCCAGACTCCTTACAGGCACCACAAAAGAATATTCACAGCACCACTATGGATTATTAGTGAGAACTTAACAAAAAGAACCATAAGTACTCCAAGAAAGTACAATAAAGAAATAATCTGCAATATAGCAAATAGCAAGCTTTTGTACCACATGCCAATTTATAAATTCCAAGCCTTAAGTTTCAGAACAATCCCACACCAATATATGCATAGTCTTGCTCACTTTACAGCGCAGCTGGGGGGCTGGGGAGAGGTTGAGGAAGATATTACATTATATCTTTGGTCGCTTCTTCCTTTTTTGGTGTTGCATTTTTCATGTGTGAACTCATGGCATATATGTACTTAACGGAGTTTACTCAAGAGAAAACTGTAAAATATCTTTGGGGCAATAGGGGGTTTGCCCAAAGTGTTTTTCATCCTATGAACTTTTGGCTTGAACTTAGGTTGACACCTCCAAGGCTTCTGCCTGAGGCTACTATTTGTATTCCATGACTGTATTAGGGCTTTGCCCTCTAATAGTTCATTTATCAGCAACTTGCACAAGAGTTGTAAGTAATTCTCAGAGACAGTCTGCCTTTAGCTTTCCCTCTCCTGGACACCTGGCATCCAGGACTGGCTGATGTAACCCAAAATGGCTGATGAATTCTCTCTTTGGATATGATCGACTGACAAACTTACGTCTTGCTGTATAATTCCAATATGTTGTAAAAAAGAGAGAAATCTATTCATCTTCCGTAGCAGGATATTTAGTTAAAAGATTTCAAAGTCAGGTAAATTAAGAGTGGAAAATGTGCTATGGAAATGAGATCAACATGTTCATGTTTAACTACTATATTGTATTTCTTCTCGTCACCTACTGTAAATTCTTGAAGATAATTTGAATTTCTTTGTACTCAGCTTCCCAGGAAGATCAGAACAAATTTGGGAAGATACAGGCAATTGGGGAGGATGATATACTATACTAGCAGTATAGGACATAATTGTGTTTCTCAATGGAGAATATATATTGCCATTAAAGAATAAAACAGCATGATTTCATATAACGTTTAACTTGGAAACTAACTTTAGCTTCAAGATGTAGACATATAATGTTACTTGAATTTCATTTTCAGAATTGAAAAGATAAAGAAAAAATATTTTCATAATATTGTTGCAATGTATCAGCATCTTGATGGAGTATAATTAGAATAAATATTTTACATTATAAATATATTCCCCCAAAATGAGAAATAAGCTTGGTCCCTTGAAAAAATAAAAATACATATTTCTCTGCCTAACATTGCTTAATGAGTTCTACATGTCTATGTAGCATTATTTAAACTTTTTTTTTTTTTAGGATGCTCAAGGAAAAGGTATTTTGAAACTCATTCTGATTTTTTTTCTGTCTGTAGAAACGCTCAAAGGGCCAGATTCTTTTTGACAAAGTATGTGAGCACCTGAACCTCTTGGAAAAAGATTACTTTGGGCTAACTTACAGAGATATGGAAAATCAGAAGGTAACATTAACCATTTATTTAAGGAAATCATGAGCTAACATGGGGGAAAATATATTTCCAAGAATAAGCAACTATAGAATGAGACCAAAACTATGCTTACCAGTAATTATTTCTGAACAGCTGATAGGTAATAATTTCTGAAGAATTCAAGAGAATTATTACATCTGATTTTGATATTTTTGAGACTTAAGGAGGACATACTTTTAGTTCCCTGTTCCCATGTTCTTCAAGAGGGATGAAAATTGTTGTCTTGTATATTCCTGTTTTATTATTTCAGTACCCAGATAGATTAAAGAAAGTTATAGCCTTACAGACAACTATTCATTAATACAATGTTAATGTAACATATTCATCTTTTTTACTTGTTTTCCTTCAAGATTCCCATTACTTTGGCAGTACTTTTAAGTTGGTCCTAGCATTCATTGTTGAGATATATATAAGGGACCCTTAGAAAGGAAAGAGCTTGAAATATATTTACAGATGCCCATTGTCTCTTGCAAACAATATTTGACTGAACATACAGCATCTTTACTACTGAAGCTCAGAAAGTCCAAACTATTGCTGTGCGTTGTTGTTGTTACTATTATTGGTATAAACCAAGTTCAATACCCATCAACTTGGTTTATGCCAGTTATAATAATAACTGGAATATTCAGGTATATAAAGAAACTGTTTTATAAGATTAATCAGTGTTATATCTAGATTATAGATAGGAAGCTGAAATTAAGACAACTGGAACTTGCTTAAGGTCTCATAATATGAATTGGAGACGTCTCAGTTTTTAGCATTTATTCTTTGCTAAGACAGCAACCATAAAGTGATTTGACCAAAGTAATTAAGCATTTCAGGGTCTTACCATTCAACTGAAATGTTAAAATTGGCTTACCTGCTCCACACTGATATTAGTTAGTTCTTAAACTGTTTCACACTAGTTCAATTTTAATATTCACTTGTTACTTAACATGACTCATCAAAGTGTTTGCACATCTAATTTAAATATTTAAAATATTTATTTTCAGAATTGGTTGGATCCAGCCAAGGAAATTAAAAAGCAGATCCGAAGTAAGTTTTGATCAGTCATTTATTAGAGGTGAATTCTATATTTTTAAAGGGGAAGCATCATTTAATAATAATAATTTAGTAATAATGATGATGAAGATGATGATGTATTAAACTTGTATGCTGCCTGACTCTCAGTGACTCTGGGCAGCTCACAACAATCAACCAAAGAAATTACAATAAAGCAATAAAAGATTAAAGATAGAAGATGGCAAGTGAGATGAAGCAAGGGGTCTCATTCTCCCTTGCCAGAGACCTGGGAGAAGAGCCAGGTGTTCATGACTTTTCTAAACAACAGCAGGGTGGGAACCATCTGAATCTCAGGGGGAACCTCATTCCAGAAGGCAAGCACTGTTACAGAGAAAATGTGCTTCCAGGGTCCCAGTAGATGACATTATTTAATTGAAGGAACCCAGAGTGCGCCAACCCTGCAAGATCAAATTGGCCAGGCAGATACTGTGGGAGACAAGAAGTCCCTCAAGTAACCAGGCCATGTGCCATTTAGATAATTAGGGATATTTCAAAAACTTTGCATAAAATATTTGAATATATTTAATATGCTATATTATTACTAACCTAAATCCCCATTACCCAAGATCAGTACTGTACTGTGTACATATGATGAAAATGGTAGTTGAGAGAAGAAGGAAAACTGCATGTAATATATCAAGAAGTTCTGTACCACATTAAATTCTAAAGAGTTTATTATACTAGGTTTTATGCATCATGTCCCACTTCTAGAAGTTTATACAGGTAGTCCTCGGTTAACAACTCCCTGGTTTAGTGACCATTCAAACTTACAGTGGTACTGAAAAAGTGATTTTATGACGTCCTCGAACTTATGAGTGTCGCAGCATCCCCACGGTCAGGTGATCACCATTTGCAAGTTTCACGGATGGCTTCTGACAAGCCAAGTCAGTGGAGAAGCTGGCAGTAAGTCGCAAGTTGTAGTCACATGATATCATGCTTAATGACTGCAGGTGATTTGCTTAGCAGCAGCAGCAGAACTGACATAAGCCCAGCGTGGTCACGTGATGTTTCCCTTAACTACCATGTTGCTTAGCGACAGAGTTGCCAGTCCCAATGTAGTCATTAAGTGAGGACTACCTGTACAATATAAATAAGCTAGTCTTTAAGGTGCCATAAAATTTATTTTTGCTCCAAAAAGTTTAGCATGACACTTCTGGAAATACGTGTAGGAACTTGTGTAGAAACAAAGTTATATGTAGTGATACAGAAACAGAATGTGTTGTTGATATATCTTTACAGTGTACACACTTAATGTGTGTGGTTGTTTATTTGGAAAGTTGTTTTTTTTTTTAATGTCCAAGGCGTGATTGTTCTTTCAGGGCCAGCTTTACTGTCATGCAAAAGAAATGTTAACAAATTAACAGTTACAGGTAGTCCTCGACTTACGACCATTCCTTCAGTGACTGTTCAAAGTTATGATGGTGCTGAACAAATGGTGGTTATGACCAGTCCTCGGAGTTTCAACTGTCTCAGCACCCCCGTGGTCATATAATCACAGTTGGGGTGCTTGGCAACCCGTTCACACTTACAGCTAGTTGCCAAGCGCCCCATGATCATGTGATCACCATTTGTAACCTTGCATGCTGGCTTCCCCAGAAAGTCAATGGGGAAGCCAGCAGGGAAGGTCACAAGTTGCTGGGGTAAGTTTCCCCCATCTGCGCACTCTCCCCCAGCCCCTCTGTGTTTGTGCCATATCGGCCACTCATGCACCCCCACACACCCTCCCCAACCTGCATGGTGCCTCTTATGCACCTTCCCCCACCCATGTAGCACTTCTTGCACACCCTCCCCAACCCATGCAGAATCTCTCATGCACCCTCCCTGACTCATGCAGTGCCTCTCACACAACCCCTCACACCCTCCCCACACCCCTGTGCACCCCCTCACTCCCTCCCCCACCCGGCAGCAGCCACTTACCTGCTTGCGGGCCTGGGACTTTCCCACCCCCCCCCCCTTTCTCTCCCCATTTACTTTTTTGTGAGGGGGGGGAAAGGGGGGGGGGGTGGGAAAGTCCCAGGCCCGCAAGCAGGTAAGTGGCTGCTGCCGGGTGGGGGAGGGAGTGAGGGGGTGAACAGGGGTGTGGGGAGGGTGTGAGGGGTTGTGTGAGAGGCACTGCATGAGTCAGGGAGGGTGCATGAGAGATTCTGCATGGGTTGGGGAGGGTGTGCAAGAAGTGCTACATGGGTGGGGGAAGGTGCATAAGAGGCACCATGCAGGTTGGGG